ACGGGGTCATCAAAGACAGAAGGCTGGGTAGCAATGTCCTCTGGGTTCCGCTTTTTGCGCGTCCAGAAAGGCCGCTTGCCATCTTTGTCGGAGACGGACTCACCAAGCGGTGGTGCCTCGACGACACTGTAGGTCGAATCTTCACGCTTGCTGTCCGAGTCCTCGTCTGAGACGTCATCGCGCTTCTCGCTCAGACGGAGTGGAAGTGTCGGCAGGACGGTAGTCATCCTGTTAGTCTGAGGCTGCCTTTACTTACAACAAGGGAGAAATACGACGGGGGTGTCGTGAACCCACACGTTAGCCCTCGTGGAGCGTTTTGCGCTTTATAGAGCCATCTATGCTTCGAGAGTGCCGATGAGAAAAATAACTATGGATAGCCGGTCAATGCGGAAGGCACCTCAAGAACCACTTGCCGCTTCAGGCTTTACAGTCCACCGCGATAAAGAACAAAGCGTCGCAACGAATGGCGCGAATTGCGTATGCAGCCGGTTTATGGCGTTTGCTCGCCTAGAGAACGAAGCCATGTGGTCATACCATGTGATAACATGTCGGGGGAGATTGCCCACAGGTCACGAAGGCCAGATCATTGTTAGCATCAACTTCGACGAGGACAAACATTACTCTACGGTTTCGTATCAACCCTTCTTCTTCTTCACCGTCGTGGCATACCTCGTCCTCTGCCCCTTAGTGCACGTTGCGCAGTGCCAGGGGGCGCTTTGGGTCCCGGGTTTTGCTGAGGGAACTCTCAGTTAGAGCGGTGCTCTCAAAGAAAAGAAAACGAAGAGATCTGAAACTCACTGCTTCACTCTGCGGATTGCGCACGGTCTCATCCACGCTAAGGATGAGACAAGCGGCCTCGGTTGCACTACTGATGGCGTTGAGCTTGACAAGGCTCGGCTCCCAAACGAACGCCTCCATGTTATCGCGAACGCCTTCGGCCCCGTCAACATCAACACCGAACCACTTGAATCCATTTGCGTGCTTCATGCGAAGCTTGTTGAGGATGTCGGTCGAGTCTAACCCAGCGTTGTCGCAAATTTGACGAGGGATAATCTCGAGTGCCTTTGCAAATGCAGTTATGACGAGCTGCAGCTTGCCCGGAATTGACAGCGCGTGCTTGCGTATATGCGCCGAGAGGTCCATCTAGGGACGATTGGCTATGATGAGTGAAATGCCAAGGGTTGCGCAAGAGATGCAAAGCGTTTACCTCGATCGCTCCGCCGCCAGCTACGACGTCACCATTCTGTACTGCGCGTTTGACGACCATGATCGCATCGTGTAGACTCCGCTCAACTTCCTCAATGAACTGCTCCGCACCACCGCGAAGAATGAGAGTACATGTCCTCGCCTTTGGACACTCCTCGAAAATGTTGTATCGCTCGCCACCGATCTGCTTCTCTTCAAAGTGACCACATGTGCCGAGATGCTCTGGATGTATGTCAGATGTAGTGGATTGGATAGAGCCACCAACAGCTTTCGCCACGCGTTGTAGGTCAGCAGCTGGCACACGACCAGCGCAGAAGATATCGCGATCTGCAAACCACTGGGTAGCGAGATCACCGATTGGCAGCTTGCTGAGGACGACCTTGGCACCCGTCTTTTTCGATTGCCTCGAGCTTGCGATAGATGATCTCCCACTCCGCATCGACAATAGCCTGGTAGTCTGAGACGTGCTCAACGCGAACTTCCGCATTGTCCTTCTCGGCTTTCAGCTCCAACTCGACGTTCAGACTGAGAATGAGAGGGTTTCTGAAGGATTTGGGCTGCTGCTCTGCACCGGCATACGTGAACGTCTTCTTGAAAGCAACACCGCCGACGAGCGTAGAATCCTGCATACCGCCGCCTGGGATCTTCTTCACACCAATCAGCGACTCATCCAAATCGTCCTGATCTAGGCACTGGACAGCGTCAACGACCATTTTGGAGAAGAAGGGTTTCTCGGAGTGAATGAGTTTGGAGGACATTGATGTCGAAGCGCACTTGAGCAAGAGCGAACGGAAGCGTCTACACTGTGGTGAGTCAAGCGGATATTTGCAGAGGTGCAACGCACTCAGGGTCCGACTTGTCGACTGAAACCTGAATCTCCCTGATGCGCTCAATGGCCTAGCCCATGTAAGACACAATTTGCCATGAAAACGACTGGTGACACCCACCAGTTGGCACGCCTTTCTGTAGCCCTTCATGATGATATGCGGGCTGACACCCTCCTCAATGTAGCTTCGGACTTCCTTGAGTAGCTGAGCAGCAAGAAGGACCACGCTGGTGGTACCATCTCCGACCTCCGCGTCCTGAGCCCTTGCAATGTCGACCATAGTACGCGCAGCGGGATGAACGATATCAAGAAGCTTAAGGATAGTAGCACCATCGTTGGTGATTTGGGCTTCGCTTCTCTCATTGACAATAAGTTTGTCCATACCCCGAGGGCCAAGCGTGCTGGCGAGGGTCTCTGCGACGGCCAAACATGCAGAGATGTTTGAGAGAAGCTGAGGCTTTCCCTGGGAGGTGTCCGTGCCCTCCTTGAGGAGAACGACGGTCGGTTGCTGCGGAATTATAATTAATGCTTATTCCTCGAGAAATCCCTGGTTGCATACCATGGGCAAACCACGCTGCATTTTGTTGGAAGAGTGCTGAGAGCGGTCGAAGGAATGACTTGTAAATTCACCGTCACCGATATGGCAGTTATTGTTTGCACTTATTTGGCGCAGTGCGCGTCGCCCAGGCGCTTCGTCGCGTCTGAATTTCACTTCATAAACGACGCGAACATCGTCCTCTTCACCATGGTCGACAGCGGGCACACCGAAAGATCGCTCTTCTTCACAGGATCAGATGACGAGCGTGACGATGAGCTCGAATACGTTACACTGCCGGATACTCACCGGTCTGTGGAGGCACTGAATCCAGAGTCGCAACCGCAAACAAACTCGCTCTTTTTCGCGGACAGCGGAGACGAGGATGAGAAGCCTCCTCCGTCACACTTGATGACTTGCCCTGAGAATTTTGCTGGCATGCTGCACAATGTGCCAGACTTGAACGAACAAATGGATGTCGACATCAGCGTTCACGGTGTACCCTCCAGCAGAGCCTCGAGCGTGTCAAGCACGTCTTCTGCCCGGCCACCTGCCCCATCGTCACGAGCATCGTCAGCCGTTCCAGAAGCTTCCAACGAGCCACCGCGAAAGAGACGGAAATTGTCATTTCCAGCATCGGAGGGTGGGACCAACTTCGCATCTGCCTATATTGGGTCGTTCCTCGTAGCAGATGCCTGGAGTACAGTCCGTGGCAGAGGATTTGTGAAGGTGCGCAAGCAGAAATATTGGTGAGAATCTGAGCAGGACACAACTTGCAATTGCTAGCCCGCGGATGAGATTCGCATAGAACGAGATAGTTCATCAGAGCCTACTAAGCTGGACAAGAAGGCTTCGGCCAGGAGAGATCCCAAGACTAAAGACGGGAAGAAGCAACTATCCATTGCGACTATGCTGAAACCCGCAGCGCCGAAACCGACTAAGAAGAAGCAAGATATAGTAGTCCGGTTGACTACCATGCGTGGATTCGGTACGCGCGTTGCGCTATCTCCTCCGAGTCATAGTTAATGTGGCGTATGCTCTAGAATTCGCACGGCTCCCTCAAGAAGTCTCCACCTGGGTTTCCAAGCTTTTGGACCTCGGTATCGTAGAGTTCAAAGGCAGCACGGTCGTGGATTGTCCGCCTTCACTTCACTCTGGCGCATCGATAATCGTCTCGTTGTCCATCTATCTTAAAACATCTGCGTTCAGGCCGCCGAGTACATCTGCAGAGGACGAACCATCCAAACCCACGTTCAACGAAGGTCAAGAAAGTCTAGACGAGCAGATCCTTCGCGAACGCAAGAGCTCGCTAATACACCTCTTTGACATCCTGAACCTCAAACCGACCAAACGTGGTAGCTTCCGCGGGGGAAAGAAGAAGCAGTTAAGCCAAGAAGACCTGAGGCTTCTAGCACAAAAGGCGAGCAAGGCCAAGAAGGGTTCACATACTGAGATCGTCGGCGACGGGGAAGAGATTGTCGTAGAAGCCGACGAAGAGGAGCTTTCGGACAATCAGCTTAACCTTATATATCGCAAGTAAGTGAGGGTTCTACTCTCCCAGCTGACAGAAATGTACATGTCTGTGTATCAGGGCGCAGCAAAATGATACCTTTATGGGCGAAATGAACCCTAGCGATACCTTCACACTGACATTGCGAACATACCAAAAGCAGGCGCTCTGGTGGGTACAGTGATACGTCCTCTATCATGTCGTTCATGCGAAGCGCAGGTGGATGTACAACATGGAGACAAGCACCGACTCGGCTCGCCACGAGCAAACCATGCATCCTCTCTGGAAAGAGTATGCTGCACTCTCCTGCGTTAAATTTTCTTCTAACTTCCCGTGCAGGTATACATTCCCTTCTGATCCTCACCAGAGCCAAGATATCATCGACTTAACCGTAGACGACAGGCCGTTCTATTTCAACGAGTATTCTGGAGAACTGAGCCTCGAGCTCCCCAGAGCGGAACGAAAATTCAGAGGCGGGATTTTGGCGCAAGTACTTACCCTTCTATTACGGGCCCCTTCAATCTAACCCCGTTGCCACAGAGATGGTACAGTCGTCAGCTTATATCTTACATAATCAGAGGACTGACCTTACCGTCGTGATGGTGGTCGCTGACAGAGAGTATGTGATGACCGCAGCTGGCTTTTGGTCGCGTTTGACTCATCGTTGATTCCTAGTGGGGATGGGTAAAACCATCATGCTCAGCGCACTCATACAGACTGCCAGCGAGCCGGAGCCTCCAGATCCTACGGCCCGCGCGTCGAGGCGAAAACAGCTCCGACTCGATGGCGCCTTTCGCAATCGTGGCGACACCGCCAAGTCCACAGATGTACCTGGATTGCCCTCTACAGGCCCTTCGGCAACCCTCATTGTCGCGCCAACATCGCTTCTCACCCAGTGGCATGACGAATTATCGCGCTCGAGCAAGCCTGATACGCTGAAGGTGCTCGTCTGGCATGGGCAGAACAGACTTGACCTTGACAGTCTAGTCGAGCAGGGATTAGAACAGAAGGGAAAAGACGTCGTAATCACGTCATACGGAACGCTGGTATCAGAATTCAGCAAAACTCAGGGCGACAAGCCGGCCAGTTCGGTATTCGACAGTAAGTTTTGTCAAAGTACCTATTTCATTTGCTAACCTCACTAATGAAACGTAGTCGAGTGGAAGCGTGAGTAATCTTTACGTGCTTTCTCGCGAATTTAGATCATTAAACGGTACGCTCTTCAGGCGTAATCCTAGACGAAGCGCATTCCTGCAAGTCCCGTCAGAGTAAAACTGCGAAAGCGGTGTATGCGCTTCGTGCGAGAAGGCGATGGGCAGTCACTGGCACACCGATCGTCAACAGACTAGAGGACCTCTATTCTTTACTGTAAGCTTTTTGTTCATTGACGCGGGCGACGATCCTGATCGCTCTCGTAGCAAATTCCTGGACTTCAAACCTTGGTCTAATTACACGTTCTTCCGGTCGTGCGTGCCTGGGCAGCATTTCTTATCCGTAGTCACTCATCTCAGAATAGCTTCGTCACGCTGCCCTTCCTTGCTCGAGACCCCAAGGCTATCGAAGTCGTGCAAGTCATCTTGGAGAGCGTCCTGCTGCGACGTGAGAAGAATATGCGCGATGCGGATGGACGCATGATCGTCGAGCTGCCGCCGAAGGAGGTTTGTTCCCTCGCTCCCAGTACAAAAAAAACCTGTCTAATATCGCTGCTTCGCCAGGTCACGGTTGAAGAACTCGAGTTTTCGCCTCTAGAGCGCAAAATTTATGACTCTTTGTATCATGACGCTAAACGTCGATTTGAGAAGCTGAGCGAGAAAGGTGTAGTCAACAAGAACTACACGCACATCTTGGCCATGTTGATGAGGTATGTCGCCTCATTGCTGTGTATTGCCTGGGACGACGATGAAGCGAACACCGGTCAGACTTCGTCGTGCAGTCCTCCATCCTGGTCTTGTCCTGAAGGACTCCGATGACCTTGCGAAGGCCAGCGCAGATAGTACATTCATCGACCTACGTGGGATGATCCAAAGCTATATCGACAATGCAAGCGGTTCAAGTACGCCCCAGGCGGCAAACGATGATGGCGAGACCAAGCCGGACATTGGCAAGGGCGGAAACGCCTATGCGGAAGATGTCCTCAATAATCTAGGCCAGGAAGAGGAGGCAGAATGCCCTATATGTATGGATGTCATGCAGTCGCCGGTGCTGATTCCGGGCTGCCTGCACCAAGGGTTCGTTCTGCGTCTTCGACATGTATTCTCCCTATACTGAACCGAGCGACAGATGTAAAGACTGCATCACCGCATGTCTGCAGCAATGCATAGACCGAGGCAAAGAAGGATGCTGTCCAACCTGTTTCCACGAACCCGTATCCGAGAGCGACTTGCTTGAAATCGTTCGGACGGGTAAGCCTGGCGGCAATGCGGTCACGCTGAGGAAGAACGACTTCCGGTCGTCGACGAAGCTAGATGCGCTACTGCAAAATCTGCGTACGCACCCATAGATCTTCTCCTCAAGGTTTACCTGCTGAGATGCGAATGTTGCAGGTGCCATCCGCCAAACTGATCCCGCCTTCCGCGCGGTCGTCTTCTCGCAGTTCACAACCTTCCTGGACCTCATTCAGTTCGCGTTCGAGCGCGAACGGCTCAGGTGGTTACGCTTCGATGGCACGATGGACGTGCGCCGACGAAATGAGGCTGTCGCGAGCTTCAAGGAGAATAGCGATGAGCCAAAGGTTCTCATTGTGAGTCTGAAGGCAGGAGGTGTGGGCTTGAACGTAAGTTGCCTACCTGAAATTGCTCTTCGGGTGGCTGAGAACGGCATCTCTAGCTCACGAATGCAAACCACGTCTTCATGGTGAGCTTTTCTGGTCGCACATCTTTGAGAGTGTGCTGAAGGGGGCCGCTGCAGATGGACTGTTGGTGGAACTCTGCCATCGAGAATCAGGCTATCGATCGCGTGCACAGGATAGGTCAAGAGAGGACGGTCCATGTCAAGCACTTCATAGTATGTCCTCGATTGTCATACACAGCTCCTTTCTTTACCTGTCGCAGGTCTCCGATACCATCGAACGGCGCATTCTGCAGATCCAGAAACGCAAGACAGCCATTGTCAAGGAAGCGTTCGGCGGCAGAGGCGACTCGGACAGTATTGAAAATCTCAGGATCATGTTTGGTGACGACTAAGAGGAATGTCGTCCCTAACGCGTCTCGTAGCATCTATTATACAATCTGGATAGGTAGACACCCATGGCTATTCATTCGTGTATAACATGAACTGCGGGGTAGCAGCTAATTGAACATAAGAATATAGATACAACGGTCGTTCAAGACGATAGGATACAACTGCTGAACACTAACAATGTCCACCAGCGAGTGTCTCAGTAGCAGCAAACTTGACCAGCAAATGACATTCTGTAACCGACAGGACTCAGCTTGCTTTCACGCAATTGGTTGGTAGGCCGTCTCCCCGATCAAAAAATGAACCACGTCGCCTTCTGCGAGGGTCAGCCTCACTGGCAGGCGAGGATCAACCCGAATGGGCTCGCTTTGGCCGATGAAGAACGCCCCGCGCTGGAAGTTGCGTGTGATGGCGGCAGCCTCCTCTTCAGTGAGGTTGCGGGGACGCTTGTTCGGACGGAACGTCGAGGTCGACGCACCAGCGGTAGTGGGGGTAGTGCTAGTTGGGGCAGAAGGTGCAGACGCGGGAAAGGTGCTGTAGTCGTAGTAGTTGGGGTGCGCGAGAGAGTGCATCGGCGGCGGTGGGTAGCCCGGGAGCGCAGGGTACGGCACTTGGGCTTGAGCCTGAACTTGGGCTTCGATGACGTCTACGTTAAGACTTGTGGTCTCGTGTTAGGTGAAGAGCAGGCAACGCACCTTGGTTTTGGGAGCCCTCCGCTTCAGGGTCGGGGTAGGCGCAGGTGTTGCCTATGCCGCGCTTGAGGCAGCTCTGGCGGCAACATATGAGTACACAGGGACCCACACCGGGCGAGAGAGACAAGACTCGCCTGGCATGGCAAAACCTCACTACACCTAGTCTTGCCGGCATGGCAGGCCGCGCATGCTCTCCGGACAGAAGGAGCTTTGGCTGGGCGGAAAACAGAGATTAGAAGGGGCTGGATAAGGGGATTGTGGGCCGGAGGTGCTCACGCTTTCGTGTATTCTCGGTTACGGGAGGGGTGACGGTGTCGCCGTTGTGGATGGGCTGCTGGAGGCCGTCTGGGATCTGCTGCTGTTGCTGCTGCTGTTGCTGCTGCGGGTGCACCTGGAGGTGTTGTGGGTCCTGCTGTTGCGGGTGCGGCTGGAGGCCGTCGTCCTGGCCGGACGCGTTGAGGGCCGACATGATTTGGCTGAGGGCACGGAGCTGATCGTCGGGCTGGCACGGTCGCTCGGTCTGCGTGGGCGGGCAAGGTCCGAGAAAACGGTCAAACGGCGCCCCACCGTCCTTATAAACCCTCCCCTTTCCCGGCATCAGTCGGCCCCGGCCCGGAACCACCAGTATCGCCGCCGGCTCGTCGGGTCTCGCTTTGGGCCGGACCCAATCATTTCTCACTTGCTTCAGACTCGCCAACATGCAGGAGCCAATACAGCCACCAGTTTCCTTCGAGGATTTCACGTACGCCTTCGACCCTGCCGTCTCGACTGTCTTTCCCAGTCCTCCTCCTCTGCCTTCCTCCGCAGACCTCTTCTCGCCATCAGAGACAACCGACCTCCTCGGCTTTCTCGACAACTTTTCATGGGACCTCGAGGCAGAAGTAAACAATGCCATCAACCTCCCATCCGTACGACCGCCAGATTTTCGCGACCATGACATGGCGGTGGAGGGCTCTACCCCTCTCACGCCACATACGATGACTCTCCAGAGTGCACTCGCCATGACCATGTCAGAGAAGGGGAAGCAAGCTGCCCACGCTCAGCGGGACAGGGCATCATCCTCTTCGGCGCAGCCAGCGAGAAGCCAGCCAGCTCGTGCCACCCGCTCTACTCGGCGACCTTCTGCTGTAACGAACGTCTCATTGTCCTCCACGAAGTCTGCATCTTCTGCTGAGGCCGAGGCTGAGAACGCCAGCAAACCAAAACAGCTCCTGTCTACCCCGCAAAAGCGGTTGAACCACATCATGTCAGAGCAGAAACGTCGCAATGCCATTCGCGACGGCTATGTGCAGCTGACCACGCTGCTCGCACCTGCCGGGGCTCCTCCTGGCGCAGGTATGCCCACTCGTGGACGACCGAAGGGCAGCGGGACGAGGGCGGGGCGGGGCAGAGGCGCGGGCGGATTCAAGGGCAAGAGTGGCATCTTGTTCAGGGCTGTGGAGTACATCCATTGGTTGGAGGAAGGACGGGAGGCTCTGTTTGAGGAGGTGCTTAAGGTGGAGGCAGCGGCCGGCATTCATCATCCCTGAGGCGCGAAGCTCGAAGACATACGTCCATTCATGTGAGTATCTCGGTAGACCGCCTATCTACATGGATCTGAACTGGTATACAGTATTCCATACCGCCCCTGGTCCCGATCACCCTGAATCACCCTGCATCTGCACAGTTCTGTGTCAGCACATTCTGCTTCCCATGCACGCCGTATTGTCTGCTGTTGTATCGCTGTACCACACATGTAAATTATAGCTCATATACGGATTCATTTCGTGCTCAGTCACGTACGCGATAACTTGCCAGGGAACATCGACTCTTTTATGCATCCATGAAAGCTCTTTAAGCTTCAAGCTTTCAAGCCTTAGCCGGCTTAACGGCAATATGACACCGGGACCTTCATTAGCATTCGTCAACACAATCTGTGAATGGCTCCCTTACCCCGACCACCACCAGCGGACCCAAACGCCAATTGGCCAATACCGCAACTTGTGCTACGGGTCGATGACCTTGCACACCCAGGAGCGCAGTTGCTCTTTGACAGCGTCAAGCCTTATGAGGCCCTCAAGGACGCCATCGTAGCCGTGTTCTGTTGGTTGTACACGCCCGAGAACGTACCGCGCAGGTGACTCTATTCCCCCTTGTCCACAAGGCTACGAGACTGAAGCGTAGCATATGGCAGCGTGGAGAAGATTACGCTCGTCTTCCGCACGATGCCGGGCGTTGCGCACACCTTCGGGTCTGAGCTCTTCAAGGAGATCCACTTCTCGCTCGACCACATCGTGAACAGCGCGCAGCGCGCAAGAAACGAGATCCTCGGAGTGCTCACGCACGAGGTCATCCACTGCTTCCAATTCACCGGCAAGAGTGTACAGTGTCCGGGCGGGCTTGTCGAGGGCGTCGCAGGTGCGTCTTTCCCCCTTCGTACACGGCGAACAGGTGCTGATCGCCAGCGACAGACTGGGTTCGCCTCCGTGCCGGGCTTGCGCCTCCGCACTGGGTCGAGGGGCGCAGCGACAAGTGGGACGCCGGCTACGAGGCGACGGGCTTCTTCCTCGACTGGCTCGAAGACCGCTACGGCTACGGCACCGTCGCAGAGCTCAACGGCTATCTGCGCGAGCGGCCGTGGAGCGAGGGCATGTTCAAGGAGCTTACGGGCCGCAAACTCCAGAAGCTCTGGCGGCTGTACAGAGAGCACCTCGGCAAGGAAGTGCCTGGCGACGAGAAGGGTGAATAGCCTAAGCGTCGTGAGACATGTATACCGCGGGTGACCTTTGTACCCAAGGAAGCATACGTGTACTATGCCGGATATGTAGATAACTGAAATTAAGAGCTAGAGCTAGAGGGGGATGCGAACGTAGACATGTATTGCCATGAACACAACTACACTGATATATCCGAGGGAATATATTGCACTAGGTTATCGTCAGCAGTTGAGAGCAAGCCCTTGACGAGATGGAGTCAGAAGAAACCAGTAAAATAATACACTTATAACTGCGAGGTCCATGCGATAAAACTATCCCCAGTCTTCGCCCAACTCACGCGCGAGGAAATCATCCTCTTCGTCATCACCGTCTTCACTCGAGTCGTCCGTCGTCATGTCGTCGTCATCGTCATTATCATTATTCGCGGCCACACTCGCGGGCGAGGCGGACCGCGTCTTAGCCTCTTCTTCAACAAGGTCATCGGCAGAGATGGAGTCCTTTAGTTTTGATGCACCGGATCGTTCTGCAGCCAGCTTCTTCCGCTTCGCGAGCGGGGAACGCAGGCCGTCGGAGTCGCTGCCCGCGCCCCCCTCCAATGGAGTGACGCTACGCAGCCGCTTTCTTTTTCGTTTTGACGGCGTTGACGATGCGCTACTGAAGAGTTGATCACTCGTAAACTTTCACTTACACCGAGCGCAGAAGACAGAACGACAAACCTGATGATGCTGTTCGACTCGTCCGTCCACTCATCCTCCGTCACATTCCCACTCTTTACCCCACTCCTCGTGCTCTCACTCCCATCCCCATCCTCATCGTCGCTCTCGTTCATCGCCGCATCGACTTCGTCGTTGATCTCGTCCCAGTCGACGCCATCGAGCTGGAGCGACTGGTTAGGTGCCACAGTGCGGTCGTAGTCCCAGTCATCTGCATCCGGCTCAGGATCAGAAGAGATCTGGTGCGGGTCCGAGGGGGGACTCGCTGGTCCTACCGCAGCTGCTGCCTCTGGGTCGATCAGGTACGGCGTCTCGTCCTGCCGTCTCCACTGGTTGATCGAGTCCAAAAACCAGTTCACCCAGACGATCTTGACCCCGCCTTGGCGGCGTGCAGCGTCGACTTTAGCGGTGCCACGCTGGAGCAGGCGATTAGCGATAGCAGGAAAGGGGAGAAAGATGGCGAACCTTGGCAGCAATTAGATGCGTAATTCGAGGGTTGAGCTCTGTGTAGCACTTCGCCCCGAACATAACAGCTATCCGCCACGTCTCGCTGGTCTCTGCTCTGGTGTCAAGAGGGATGACGCTAGAAAATACTACATGGCAGCCAGCTAATGCATTTTGTCGCATGAGTGGTATTATAAGCTGGACCAGTCGGGTTCAACGTTAAGGAGCTTCAAAAACGATATTATGCTTACTCGGACGTCATAAGGAGATGGTGGTTCTACATGGTGCTTTGATGGTTTCCGCTTGATGTGCTTCTCCTTCTCCTCTTTTGGCCGTTCATCATACGCAGCATAATATTGTCTGTGCACTTCTTCTAGTATCTGCGATAGCAGATGTCAGTGGCCTAGTATCTAAAAACTGTTCATATACTCACTCTCTGAACCCGTACGAGCTCAGTGTCCGTATTTTTGAGCAGCGCCTTACGATGGTGATGTTTTTCGCGATGCGGTGTAGGTGACCTATCCGCTTCAGCGCCATTCGTGGGTTTTGGTGAATCGCCGTTGACTGTAGGTGAGGAAGACTCTAAAGCTTCCGCATCTACCCCATCTGCGTCCTCGTCTTCAGCCTCTTGCAGTTCCTCCTGCATCTTAGCCAACGGCCTCTCTTCAAGCTGGGCGTCGAGGGCATCGGCGTTGCGTGCAAGGATCTCAGTCTTCTCAATCTCTGCTAATTCTTCTTCCGTAACATCGCTTGGCACTGGCGTGACAGATGTATCCGGCTCAGATGCAGCTGAAGAGGTAGAAGGCAGCCCAGGAGTGGTGGCAACTTGGGGTAATGGCGTGAGCGGTACCTGCTTAGGGAGGAACGCAGAGTTGATGTCGCCAATTCCAACGAAGAACTCGACTAGAGCGTATATATGAGCCCTCGAACAAATTAACCTGCATCCAGACTTACATGGTATAACCTTGACAAGATTCGGGCTCCACTCCCAAACGTCTGCCCGATCGTCGATGACGACTACCATAGACTGATCGCACGGGAACAAACGTTGCAAGCTCTTCTGCGTTAAGCCTTATAGACAGTCTTCATGAATTTGACTTCGCGGGAAAGAGGGTGGCAGTACTCACTTCCACTTTCGTCCCGACTGAGCAGCCGACCGCCGAAGATCTTGCCATCAGGATCAATGGCAGCACAGACCTCCTCGGCATAAGCACGAGTGCCCATAGTATAGACATGCATTTCATACTTTTCGGCCATGTCCTCTAGGAACTCATTCCATCCGGGACTAGGCAACCACGGAGTCAGTCAAAGCGCAGGGGTTGAGAAGCGTGACACGCACCGTGGCTTAATATAGTACATACAACCTTCATTCTCTACACTTTTATCCTTCCCCTTGCGCTTTATTCCTCGTAACCGCGGGTCGCCCAGAGCCTCAGGGCCTAACCTGAACTTCTTGACGTCCTTCAACGCTTCCCAGTTGGGATTCGGCTCATCGTCGTCCACCACGGTAACGTCACTCCCTTCCGGCTGTGACGTCTTCGGCTCTGCTTGCCGAGCCTCCCATGCCTCGCCCTCCGCGATCCATTCGCCTACTGTGGGGTCCACAGTGGCATGTACAATAGTCTGGTCGAGGTCAACGATGAGCGATAGCTTCCGCGTCTTCCGCAGGTGTTCAGCGGTTTCCTTCTCAATCCTTTGAGCCTCTTCGAGAGATACTGTGGGCCCATTGGCGGCGTGAGTCATCTGAATGGATGCACGTGAGGCATCCGAGAATCCTGTGTAGTCGTAACTGTTCCAACATGAACATCAGCGGCAATGCATACAGAGTGTGTTCGTGTGTTTGCGTACTCTGTCATATCCTTGCCACACAGGCAGCACAGGCCGCCAAGCTGCATGCCGTGCTTACATGGCTCAAGGATTTTGATGGCGGGTTGCTCCCTGGCCCTGCGCTGGGAGACAGTGTCTCCGGGCTTGAAGGTCCAGCTGTCGACTGTGCCCTCGATGGACGAGTCCCATGTGCCAAAGCGTGTCTCTCTGCCCGATTCTGGTGAGTGATGTGTAAACGAATAGCTGAGCAAACGCGTTCCGCGTTGTACAGTGTCCGCGGCTTGCACCTCGTGTGCTACGACCTTGATGGGGTACGGGAGCTGCGGGGAGAGGTAGAGCTCAGTGGAATCCGACATTTATATTCGTGAGTGCATGCAGGGAGTGTTGAAACGTGAGTGTGGTATAAAGCTGAAGAAATGACGGGGATATTCGAGTGCGTTAATTCGACGCTTTGACCTCGCATGCGGCGGAGCTGCTCGACGGTCCGGAGTGGGGGTGTGCTTGTTCAACAACCCATTCAGGAAATCCTCCCGGCCGGCGCCGCACTCCGCCGTCCTATGATCCGCGTCGATCGCGCCTCCGACAGTTCCCCGCTCCGGCCATTGCGTTCGGTGTCGGGGTCTGCTCAACGACTGCTCCAAAGCGAGTATTTGTACACAACGCTGGCTTCACCCAGAGGTCATCGAACCCATCTTATTCTTTCGTTGTCATGCCAATCATTCAGACAAGGCTGTAATTGTCACCGGTCGTTCCAAAGGTGGCATCGAGCTTGCTGTGAGTGGAACTGTATGATGCACTTGTGAGAAAATAAGTTCACCACGGAGATAGTTGCGAAGAGTGCGCGCGCCGTGGCTGCAATATGTATGTCGCCGCTCGCGGACTCGAGACTGTGGAAGGCTCCAGCCAGGCCGGGATAGAGAGGCTTATGGGCGATGAGAAAACTCGAACGTTCAAAGTGTAGTCAAGAGGGTCATGGATAACTAGGAGGTCGCACCGGCATGGTTGTCAACAACGCAGGAATCAATTGTTCAGGTATATATCCTCTTTGGCCCTCGTGTCAAACTTGTTTGCGTCTGGTCTTACGTGCGGGTAATTTATAGGCACGGCTATCGATGTCGTCTTGGATGTCGTACCGCTTGCAGTCCTCCGTATCTGCAAGGTCATCTTTCCCCAAATGGCTACACGCAGGTCCGGCATTATCGTAGACTTAGGTTCAGTTGCTGGCGAAATGTACGTCTTCCTTGGCAC